GATTTCAACTCATTGATCAATTTTGTTGTTGTTATTATCTGTGTATTTAGAGACACATAAAACCACTGCCCAGGCCAATGGCTATAAGAGTTTCCCTTGTTTTCTTCTAGTAGTTTCATATGTTAGAATCCTATGTGTAAGCCTTTAATGAGATTTTATTTGATATTTGTAATTGTGAAGGAAAGAGGCTCCATTCTCCTGCATGCGGGTATCTAATTTTCCAAGCATGGTTTATTGGACAGATTGCCCTTTCCCCAGTGTGTGTGTGTTCTTGGCTTTGTCAAAATTCCACTGGCCATAAATGTATAGGGTGATTTCTTGGCTCTGTATTTCTTTTCTACTAGCCCACATCCCTTTTTTAAAATGCCATTTTGATTACTACAAGTTTCTAGTTCACTTTTAGGTTTGATTATATGATGCCTCCAAGTTCTTTTTGGTCAAGATTGTTTTGGCCATTTGAGATCATTTTTCATTTGAGATTATTTTTCATAATTCTGTGAAGCCTGAGATTGGCATGTTGATGAATCTATAGATCATCTGGGTATATTTTATTTGTATTGATTTTTTCCACAAACATAGGATATCTTTCTTATTTATTTGTATTCTCTTCAATTTCATCAATGTTTTATAGTTTTTATTTTATAGATCGTTCACTTTTTGTTAAATTGATGACTAATGGTTATAGCTTACTCTAAGTGTGATTATTTTTGTGATTTCTTTTGCAGATAGCTCACTTAGCATATAGAAACATGGCCACTTTTCAGCCTTTTGGCTAAGATCAAGTACATACAGAAATCCAAATGTGTCATATGTGTTGATTTTGAATCCTTAACTTTATTGAATTTATTACTTCCAACAATTTTTTAGTAGCGTCTTAGGGTTCTCTACACACAAGATCATGCATCTTCAAAGAAGGACAGTTTGGCTTTCTTCTTCCTAATCTGGACACCCTTCCTTCCTTTCTCTTGCCTGATTGTTCTGGCTAGCACTTGCAGTACTCTGTTGAGGAAAAGCAGTGACAGTGGACATCCTAGTCTTATTCCAAATGTTAGAAGAAAAGCTTTCTATGATTTTCCCATTCATATGACATTGGTTGTGACCTTGTCACAGATGATCTTCATTGGGTTGCAGCATATTCTTTCCATCATGAATCTCTTATGAAGGAATACTGAATGTTGTCAAATGCTGTTATATGTCTATTTAAATTATTATATGACTTTTGTGTTTGACCTGTTAATTTATCAGGTATGATATATTGAGCCATTCTTACATCCTAGTAATGAATCATTTGATCATAGTGAATGATCGTTTTTAATTTACCATGAAATTCAGTTTGCTGACATTTTGCTGTAGTTTATCTATGTTCATAAGTGATAGTGGACTATAACTTTCTTTTTGGATTGTTTCTTATCTGGAATTGGTATGCATATATAGGCCTCATAGAATAATATTTTAAGGATTCCTTCTTTTTCAATTTTTTGAACGTTTTAAGAAAAACTGGTTATTAGTTCTTTAAATATTGGGTAGATTCTATAATAAATGCATCAAATTTTAGGTTTTTCTATGGTAAAAAAGTAGTAAAAGTAATAGAATAGCAATTTTACTAATAAAATAATTTTACTAATTGTCATTTTTAATAAAATTAATCTTTCATTACTGAGTCAGTCTTACTGCTCATTATTAGTCTCTTCAAGTTTTATATTTTCTAGGCCAGATATGGTGGAGCATACCTGCAATTCCAGAATGAGGGAGGCTGAGATAGAGAAATCTCAAGTCCAAGGCAGCTACATAGTATGACTCTATCTAAAAAACCTGGGGAGTAAAAGGTTTTTATATGTGTTCATGATTCAAATTTGGTAATTTGCATATGTCAAGGAACTTATCTATCTCTTCTTTTTCTATTTTTAAAATATTTTTATTTTTATTTTTTAGCTTTATGTGTCTATTACCTGCATGTGCGCAAGTGCACCCATGTTGCACAATGGCCACAGAGTTCAGAAGAAGGTGTTGGATCCCCTGGAACTGGAGCTATGGACAGCTGTTAGTTGCCATGTGGGTACTGGGAACCAAACCTGGGTCCTCTGCTAGAACAGTCAGTGCTTATAACTGCTGAGCTATCTCTCTAGCCCCCTCTCTTCTTGGTGTACATATTGATGTATGGAGAGACTGTGTCTGTCAAAGAGCAACTTTAGGACTCAGTTATCTTTTTGCACCATATAAGTCTTGGGGTTCAAATTGAGGTCACCAAGTTAGGTGGTAAGAGCCTTTTATTAACTGATGATCCATCTCAACCTCCTCTTCTAGATTTTCTGATTTATTTTGTATACTTTTCATAATACTTTCTAATGATCCTTTGTACTCCTGTGGTATCAGTTATAATGTCTCTATTTTTATCTCTGAGTTTCAAATATTACTCTTCATGTAGCTAAAGGTTCGTCAATTTTATATTTTTTTAAAAAATCAACTCAAACATATTTATCATTTTTTATGTCTTAAGTCTCTGCTTCATTTATTGCTGCTCTGATCTTTAATCTTTCCTTCTACTAACTTTGTTCTTGTTTTTTTAGTTCCTTAAGAAGCACTGCAAAGTTTTCAATTGAAATCTTTCTACTGTTCAATGTTGCCATTTATTGCTGGGGATTCCCCTCTTAGAACCGCTTTTGCTATATCCCATAACTGTTAGTATGTTCTATTTCCATTTTAATTTATCTCAAGAAACTTGCATTTCTTTTGTAAATGTCTTCAGTGACTTGCTTGTGCAAGAAAGTGTTCAATTTCCATATATGTATGCTGTTTTCAGAATTTTTCCTGTTGTTAATTTCCAGTTTCATTCCCCAGTGGCCAGAGAAGATACTTTTTAAAAATATTTTAAATTATTTTTATTTTATGTATATGAGGGTATTGCCTGCATGTATGTAGTGCACTCATGTCATGCAAAGACTTCAGAGGCCAGAAAAGGGCTTTGGATCCCCTGAAACTGGAGTTACAGACAGTTGTTAGCTGCCATGCGGGTGCTGGGAATCAAACCTGGGTCTTCTGGAAGAGCAGCAACTGTTCTTAATCACTGAGCCATCTTTTCAGCCCCTTATTTTGGTATTATTAATTGTTAAGATTTGCTTTGCAGCCTAACAATATGATCTATTCTGGAGACTGCTCAATGTATAGTTGAGAAGAATGATTAGTCTATTTGATGGAATGTGCTGTAAGTGTCTTAGGTCCATTTCACCTCCTACATCAGTTAAATCTTGTGTTCCTTTGTTCATTTTCTGTTTAGATTATCTATTCATTGATGAATGCTGGGTGTTGAATTCTGCCATTATTATATTTGCAGTCTATTTTTCTTTTAGGATCTATTAATACTTCTATATATTTAACCACTGAATTTTACATATTAATTACCACCAGTAACTTTGTGTTATTTTTGTGTAACTGGCTCACATGTTTAGGCCTCACATAATACTCAATATTTCCTGAATGAATTAATTAACAAAGGAAAGAATAACTAAATAAACAATGCCACTATTTGGGTTTCCCCAAAAAGTTTTATCTTAAAATAGTTATCACATTATGTTTAATTGGTCATTACCTGTTAATCTATATTTCATAGCTCAGTCATTGAACCCATCATGGCTTACTCTTTCTGTTAGGTAATTAGGATCAGTCTTGTGTCTGGACATAAACTAAAACCTATGGACAAGCCATTTTTGAAATGTAAGCCATTTGAAATAATGGCATGAAAAATAACATATACAGGCAACAATTATTCCATATGCCAAACTGTCTTTAAAATTTTCTCACTCACTGAAAGCAAAAACATTGAAATTTCTATTCATCTTATTAGCAAAGATTAAAAAATAATTTGACAGTACTTAAGGGCCTGTGAGAAGACTCATCAGGTAAAGGCACTTTCTTAGAAAGCCTGGCAACCTGAGTTCAATCTCAGGAAAATAATTAAAAGGTGGAAGGAGAGAAATGATGCCTGCAAGCTGTCCTCTGACCGCCACACATATGCTGAGGTAGTGTTGGCCATGTCCCCACCCCCATCATGCTCACACACAACAATAATGAATAAATAAATAATTTAAAAGAAAATAGTTTAGCAATACTTATGTAATTTCAAAAATAATTAGCATTATAATAAATAATGGGAATAGGTTATTGTAAAATTATCATTTTCTATTTATTGCTTTTTAATGCCAACAAGAATTATAGAATTATAGAAAAATGGAAAAAATAAATCCTAATGAATCATAAAATGAATTCAACTAACACCACTCATTCATTGAAGAATTTCATTAACACTGTTCAATAAAATAGATCTTGGTCTCAGGGCACTAGTTTGAAACAATTTTAAGGAGCACTCTCAAAAGTACATATTTTATAATCTTAAGTTTTCCTACAGGAAGAAAAAGATATGCAACATGCATTACTTTAGTTTTAAACTTAAAATACTTTAGTGCTCAAATTCAACTTTTTAAGCACTAATATATTTAAATTTAGCTTTATTAACTAGTTAAAATATGCTATTTCCTTATTAGAATGTAATCTATTAGTCAATTCTGAAGCACTTTATTTATGGAATTTGGGAAAAAAATCAATTGCTAAACTCTAAATGTGGCAGGCATTTATCATAAACCATGCATCATTATATTTCAAGTACAGCACAATGAACCACATCAAAATATACATATAAACTAGACTGGAAACGTACATCAACAAATTGTATGATAAAATGTCTCCTTTGTCCATCAGAATATACAGAAAGGACATATTCACCAGGTTTCCCATGGCTCTCTCGCACCAGGAAGTCTCCCTGCTGCTTCAGCAGTTCTTGGGCCTCTATTCTGGGAATTGCACCATGGTACCAGTCATGCTCCGCCAAGGGCTTCTCACTCATGGAGATCACATCAGAGAGCTGAAAAAATATTTTTAAAAACTAAGCTGGAAAAAAAAAAACCTACTGATTTCCTAGTAAAATTCATACAATTATAAATACTTTTTATATATTAGCATTTAAGATTAGCATTCCTAGCCTTATTCCCCAAATCATAAAATAAACCTATATAATAAAATTATTCAATCACAGAAATTATGAAAAAAAGGGGTATCTTAAAAAAAATATACTAAACACTATTTTTTCCATTTAATTAACTCTCAATTGCAGAGGCTATGGATTGTCCATAGCAGCGGAAGCAAGAGCAGTATCACAGGGTTTACTTAGAGCTGCCTTACTAAGCCATTCTCCCTGACTGGACTTCCTTCCTCACTGCCTCTGCTACATGGCTGGTCTTGCTTTTGCAAAGCAGTGGCAGATAAAGCCTTGGGAGAAACAACATCAATGAAGATCAGCAAATGCAAGTACAACACATGTCCAAACCAAGGTAAAATTATAAGCCATGAACACATAAGGAAAGCAAAGAACTTGCAATTTTAGGAGGACAAACTGCAGAATTACCACATGATCTAGCAATTCTCTGCTAGGTATCTATCTACCCAAGAAAAATGAAAACATATGTTCATGTCAGTACTTGTATATTAATGCTCACAGCAACATTCTTCACAAGAGCCAAAGAGTGCAAACAACTTAGTTTTATCAGCTGATGAATACAGAAATAAGTGATAAACCTATACAATGGAATAGTATTCATCCTTCAAAAGAATTAAATATGATAACATGATACAACATGAAAGAAGTTGAAAACTATTATGATTAGAGAAGGAAGCTGGACACAAAAAGCCTGTTGTCATATGATCCTGCATATGTGAAAGGACTGGCACAGGCTTAACCACAGATGAGGCAAGCGGGAAAGGGAGTCTAACTCCTAATAGCTATGGAGTCTCTTTTCTGAGAGAGTGAAATATTTTGGCATTCTGTTATAATGATGGCTGCACAGCATACTGAATACATGAAAAAGAAACCCATACATGAGATGTGAATCTTTTGATCCATTGGTGACAAAAAAAAAAAAAAAAAATCAAAAAAAAAAAACAACATAAGTTTTCTTCCACATCATCCACCTCTCACCTAGCCCGTTCCTCTCTTCCTTAGTGAAACAACAGTAATTTGGTTACATTTATGCTTCTATCAAGGTCCAGTATGGTGGCACACTCCTTCAATCCCAGCACTCAGGAGGCAGAGGCAGGCAGATCTCTCATCTTAAAAACACAAATAACATAATTAAATTTTTCTTCTATTTTCCTCTCAATGAATTTGCATGATCAGAAAAATAGTCTATTAAGTCAGAAAACTTTAAATCACGATTACCTAGTCTTTAAATTATAATGCATCTTGGCTTACCAGGCTTAACATGTGAAATGCTCATATTTACATTAAAATCCAGCAACTCAGCCAGCTGTGTACCTGTGAGGGGTCTTCCTTCCCATGAATAGGCACATAATACTTCAGAAAAGCAGTTCTCAGTGGTTGTTTAAGACATAATCTTGCTTGAACCAGCTGCTGTTACAAGAGATAACTAATATTCTATGTTCCTTTCTGGCATACCAAAATGAAATTTCAATGATTAATATAGCAAACAGATTTTAATTTTATCAAAATGTTCTTAAAAATGGAAATACAAGCTAACACATTCTGTTACATGTACAGTAATGCATATTATAAAAATTCTGTTTCACTAGAAATTTGTTTGTACTATCCTTCTAATAAGGCTTTAAAATGTATAAAACAGCCCCTAAACTATATACATCAAGTACAGAAAGTCTGCAGCACAGTGATCCTTGTTATCCATGATTTTCCTGCAGCAATTTCAGTTACCGTAGCCCAGCATGGCCTTGTCTTATGTCACATCTTCATAAGAAGTAAAAACAATATTAACTTTGAAAAAGCCTTCACATAGCCTTCATTACATTATACTGCTAAAATTGTTTTATTTTTGTCACCACTTATTATGGTTAATATCTCTCTTTCTGTGCCTAGTAAACTTTATAATAATGGAGTACGTATAGGAAAACATGTATGTATATTGGTGTGTGTGTGTGTGTGTGTGTGTGTGTGTTTATAGATCGATACTACCCACAGTTTCTAGCATCCAATGGCAGTCTTAGACTAGCCACCAAAGGGAGGTCCACTGCAGAAAGCTATTTTTCTCCTCCTTATATGAATGTAACCTGAGGATGTACTATATTCATAAATAAGCAAATTCATATATACAAAAAGTTGAATCATGCTTTATTTTTCTACTTGTAAGCATAAACATATGCACCTGAAAGAAGTGAGGTAATGACTGGTCTTAGGAAACACAGGAATTAATTCTACTTACTGCTGAAGAACCCAGTGCAGATTTTGGAGACCTAATTATTCCAGCAATTGAATGACGAATGGACTCAAATTTGGATAATCTCTCCTTTCTCTCCTGGAAGGAATAAGAAACAGTTTATAGGACTAGTAAACTATCCAACATTTATACACATTTTGGTTTTTAGGTATTTATTTACAGCTCAGTTTTCTAATCAAGTCAAATATAAGTTTCCTGACATAACCAGATACACATAAACTTACAGCATTTTACTCTCTTGGTCAATCATTGTCTTGATTTTGGAAAAATTAAGATAGCAATTCATATAAAATTTATGTACATGAAAGAAAACAGGAAATCCAAGGAAACCCAATTAATGATTAAGCATCAGGCAGACATACAAAGAAAAAGACACAAGTCATAAGGAAGCAGCATAGCATATAGAGCATTTCTGAAACCTTACAGTTGTTGAGAACTTTCCAAATAAGAAAAAACAATAGGGGGAAAACATTTTACAAAACATTTTAATGCCTTACATATGATCTCTAGATGGGCTGCCTAGACTCCAGTGGATGAATTTATAATGAAGGACATCTGTGTACAAATGCTTGACTGGATGGAACTTAACATGTATGGCAGAATACATGAGATCCAATAGGGAGATGGGGGTCATGGATAGGGGAGAGGGATCTAAATTTGATTAAGAACCATTGTATAAAACTACAAAAGTTCAATATAAATTTTAAAAAATTAAGGAAGTGAATCCCATGTAAGTACTGATGAGTTTCCAAAACCCTCATACAATGGTGAAGATGAAGATGGCGACCATGGTGCTGGGGTCGGGGTGGGGGTGTAAAACAAGAAGGAAGAGAAGGCAGAGCTATCACAAAGTGAATCAGCCTGGATTTCTCTTTACATATATATTAATATCACCTATCACAAATAAGAAAAACCTTTAAATTTTCAAATCTTCAGGTCCATTTTACCATTATAAATGAATGGGACTTGAGGGTAGAAAACAAGATTAAAAAGGTGAATGAAAATGATAACAAGGAGCTGTGGGGAAGGACTGGGAAGTGCCTGGGTTTGTAATGGAAACACTGGTCATTACCCCAGCAATGAGCACACTTCATCTGCTGATCGGCAGCAGACAAAACAAGAGCACCTTTGGAGGATGTAGGCTCTCCATGGCCCCCATCAGCAAGGAGGCTCAGCTCTGCTCAAACAACTAAGGCAGGTCACAATTAATGCCACTGTCTTATCTCCAGGGCTTAGGGTGTGCCTAGTGTGGAGAACACCCTAGGTGCCCTGTAAACACTACAGTTTCTGAACTTCAACTTGTTCCTCTCCACTTACTCATTTCCACTGGTTTGACTCCTCTTCCTAAAGGCAGCAGGCTCAAAGTTCTAGTTATTCTATAAACATATGAATGTTAATCATATAAAACAATCTTCAGATAATCTTCTGATGGGACCAATGATTTTGCCTTGTTTTTCATCATTGTGATATTAACTTAGGGTCTTATCTAAATCACTATGTGTACATTAATATGTTGATGTATAAAATTGAAAAAAATAATACAGACCTTCCCTACACTTATAAGTAAACTACTACAAGTAACAAAACATTGGTACTTTGACCCTGTATATATTTAATATAATATATATTTAGAGAAATACATCATTTACAATGGTACAAATGATCACTTTAGGAATGTAAGCAAGCACTCTATAGCCTTACTCTAAGCATGAGCTCCAGAATAATTTTTTATGTGTATGAGTGTACTGCCTGCTTGTATGTAAGTGTACCTGTGTCATGAGGTACCTGTGGATGTCAAAAAAGAGCATCAGATTCCCTGGAACTGGAATTACAGTTGTTATGTGCCATGTGGGTACTGGGAATTGAACCCAGGTCCTCTGCAAAAGCAACCATTGCTCTTAATCTCTGAGCCATCTTTCCAGCCCCCCGAATTTTTTTAAAATAAAAATCACCCTAGAAGGGCTAAGAGGAAGGCAAGAGTATAGCAGTCTTCTGTAAATCAAGTCCATTCTCTTCATCTTAAAACTGTCTGCATGTGTGCTGTGCTTGGGTTCTAAAAATCTCTTTCTGGTACTTCAGAAGTTTTCTGAAGTTAAGAACTGACTTTAAAAAAAAAAAAAAAAAAAAAAAAAAAAAAAAAAAAAAAAAGCAAACATAGCCAAGACACCAAGACATAAGGGGAGAGGGAGCACAAACTATTCACGGTGAGGACCAGGGACAGCACTACATTGGAAACCACTTGAAGCAGAGAACCTTGCCACTCTCCAGACCAATTTGTCCTTTCTTCATTCCCTGTTCTGTACAGCTGGAGAAGTCACCTTGCTGTGGCTTCTAACAGAAGGATGACATCAAAGTGCTAATCTCACCTGCTGGGCAATGACAGTGCCAAACAAATACAATGGACAGATAAGATACCTCTACAGTGACCATGCCCTTTTCCTCTGGGCTGTGTTCTTCACATACTAGAGGAAGAATTCCTCCAATGTCAGAGTATTAAGGAGAGAACTGAAACTATATGAAAAAAAACAGAACTGAAAACTGAAAAGTTTTTAAAGAAATTTAAGTATTAGAAAACATTTTCTACATATAAAATAATTAAATTGATATGGTGAAAATAACTCCCTTATACTTATATGCTGGGAATCCTACCTTAGAAAAGGAAAAGGAAGGCTTTTCCCAAAACCCTTTCAACATTTTCAACTCAAAACCAAACAAAAAGAATTATCTTTAGTGATTTTGATCACAAATTTAGGAAAGCACTCCATAGCATGAATTGTATTTGGATGCCAAGTAAGAAGGCAGTTTATTACAGCACCTTCTTGGCTCTTGTTTTTTTAAAGACATCGATGATCTTATGCATGCGATACAGAATTAAGAAAGGAAGAAAACTGATTTATGACATTTTACAGCTTAGTTCTCACTGACCTCTATTCTGCTATACTATAGAATTCTTGAACAGTTGCTTTACAACAAGGACTTTTTTAAAAGAAATCAAACTTGTCCTTTATACACTTGTAGTTTAATTTAGCCTTTTGAGATATGAAGATACTTGACTTGGGAAGAGGCCTGTTTCTTTTAACAAATGCCCTTTAGTGTACAAGCAGCACTGAACAAAAGCAGCTGCTTGGCAGCTGGGTACTAAGTGCTCCTGAAGTGCTTTGCCTTCAACAGAAACCAATTGCTAAAACAAATCATTCAGAAACTGTTTCAATGCTCAAATTCTATACCCTGGTTGAGACAAAAAGCATGTATTTTTTATTCTTCCCAGAAAAACCAACATCGGCGAAAGATTTACGTGTCTATTTATAAGTGCATTCCTTTTAAGAGTGATGTGCTGATATTTACAGTATTTCATTTACGTTATGGAGTCATCAGCAGCATTGAACTTTCTCAGGAGTTAATCTTCTCTCTGGCTATAATTTCCCTGTAGTTATTTCTCAACAGCATTTCATGGCTTCTCTGCCTAAGAAGTCCCTAGACGTTTGAGTACAGCTATCTTCATCATTTTCTTGATTCTTATTGCATCTGGGTTTGAATAAGGATCTGACCATTCCTCCAGGGTAGATAATCATTTTCATTGTTTCCTCCAAGAATGTCATTAGATTGGCTTTGTTTACAGAAGTCTGTGAAGTAATATTTGGTTATTGTTTTAATGACCCATTATTAACAAAAATGTGTCCCTGTGGCAGCTTTGAGAGCTGTCTGCTCTTACCCTTGTTTGCTGTGCTGAGGGCCACTAGGTGGAATGTGATTTGGCCTCTGGGAACAGTGATTATGGCTGCCAGAGTTCTGGGACTTTATCAAAATCAGTGCAGCACAGTGGTAGGGAGAGGGGTCTAAGTAACAGACTTTTATCTAGTCCAGAGTCCTCCTGATGACTACTGGGGAGACTGAGAGTCAGTTAGTTATTCGGGCAGTCTTTGTCCTTTCTAAGATAGAGCCTTATCTTCTCTACCATAGGCTTCCTTAGAGGATCTTGGTTTGAGAATTGTTGTACAGCTGTAGTTTTGTCATCACTCTCTACAGCGGCAAGGGGCCTCCAATTTTAGTAAACTCTTAATTCTTGCCTTTTGTGCCCATGCTTCAGCATCGGTTGCTCTGAACTTGAGTTATAGTGAAGAGTCACTTGAAACCTAGTAGCTTTACTAAGCCTTATCAAGTGGAGGCATTGTTTCTAACAGCATTTAAACATACTGATAATAGTCATAACAGGTACGTTTCTAATTCTTATGAAGAAATCTCCTCTTTATATGTGTGATATGTGTGTACGTACAGATGTATAGGTACAGTGTGGCACTGTATCCATAGTGAGTGAAGTGCTGCTGTCACAAAGGAGGGGTGCCCACTGGTTGGCTGCCTTCCTTTTTATAAAAATTAAAAAAAAAAAAAAAAAAGGTAGCCTCTTCGCTTTCGTTTTTAAAGGAAGCTATTTAATTCTTTGATATAAAAATCAACTGGTCAGTGATTTTATTATTTTTATTTTATGTGTATGAGTTAATTTCTGCATGTAGGTAGGTGCACCTGTGTCGTGCGGTGCCCGTGGAAGTCAGAACAGGGTGTCAGATCCTCTGGAACTGGAGTTACAGACAGTTGTTAGTTGCCACATGGGTGCTGGGAATTGAACCTGGGTCCTCTGCAAGAGCAGCCAGTGCTCTTAACCACTGAACCATCACTCCAGCCCCCTGAAAAGCTATTCTTAAACAAGATGTAAAACTGATTGTGCATCTAGAACTTGACTGTCAACGTGATTTTTTTTTTTTCTCATCTGAATCTTCAGAGCAGGATATTTTTTCATAATGCTGAATTTCCCTTCTTCCCCTACTGCTTCCCTACACTGGGAGGAGCTGTCTCCTTGTCAGATGATTTCTGTGTCTTCTCAGTCTGAAGCAAGCTCTTCATCTTGTCCTGTCTTGGAGTGGGCAAGTGAATGTATGGACTGTTGGCACCACCAGCCTGGCAGGCCTCATGCACACTTTGCTCTATTGGAAACAAAGGGAAAGTTTTCAACTTTATTTTTTTTTAAATAGCCATTTGATTCTTTCCTATAAAAATCAGCCTGCTGGTGAATTCAGCACAGT